GGAGGGAGGGAGGGGGAGGAGGAGGAGGAGGAGGAGGAAAGGATACTTCAGATGCTTGATGGATAGTGTGTATACTCCCTCGGTCGAGTTGCTTCCTTTTTCAGACGCTCGTGCTTCGCCTCTGAAAGTTATTATCGCACGTCCAATAAAGGATATGTGTATATTGCCTGGCAGTACCTTTAAATTGAATCCTTGACTCTGCGCACGGACTGATCGAGCTCACTCTGTATACACATCGTGAGAGATACTCGTGTACTATGGAGAAGTCGACGCCGAGAAAAAAAAAGAAAGTATCGAAGAAACGAGAAAATAATTCGAACAATTCTGTCTATGTACGGTTATTTTCGAGAATTTTCTGTTAATGGAATTGCACTGTTGCTCTGAACGTCTTTGCTTCGCCGTCTCTGCCGATGTCTCATGCGACATCGAGTTAGCATTCTTTCGCCCGTCGCCCATTGGAAAACAATAAACTTTCGGTATCGCTGTTGCACGCGTGTTGCACGTGAGTCCAAAGTGCACGGGAATGATTAACAATTCGTTGAGAAGCCGCCAAACGTCTGATAACGACGGACAAATAACTTAACAAGCCTCGTAGATAGTGCTTCGGTACACACCGCCGGTAGATGTAAATTATTTCGCGTCGGAATGTAGTTTGAAGAAGATCAACGAGATCAAACAAAGTTAAATAGACCTTGTCTCCTCCGTGTTCGTTACGGTGGCAAACATCCGTAAATGCTCAACGACAACATTTCACTGCATTTCAAAGATCATAAAACTCGACTCGGTGATAAGCACATCGAGCAGAATTAGCATAATAACCGCGCATTAGCATAGCTCGCTTCGAGCGTGCAAATATTCGTTCGAAAGATCGGTGTCCAATAATTTTCGTCGAATCAAAGGACGTTTCAATTTTCGACACAGATCGCCTTCACAATCGTGTTTCGATTTATCTTTGCCACGGCACGATCACCAGAGAGCAGGTTTATCGATTGTTTGCCATGAATCTTTGGAATTTACGTGAAATTTCTCCGACGAAAATTGCCGGTCACGGGACCGCGGGAATGTTAATGGCAGCAGTGTAGTTCAGCCAGTCGAAGTAAATAATATCGAGGGCCTAGGACCGGTCTAACGTTCCGATCCAGTTCCAGACCACTTTCGTTTTTTCCTGTGCTGGCCGAAAGGAAACGATACCGATGCTTTTACGATCGCGACAATGCAAGGCGTGGCGTCTCCGTTTTACGATCGACCGAGGTTACGACAGCGATCGTTTTTCAAATGTCAGATCGATCCAAGCGCATGCAGATTTCTTGTTAAACCGGGGAAATTATCTT